GTTTAAAAATAATATTTTTTTAATTAAAAAAAGTTTATTAAAGTTATGATAATATGATATACACTTTTAAAAAACTGTTATTGTAACTTATTTAAACTAATCTAATTTTGTCGGATTCATTGATTATTTGACAATTTTACTGTGAAAAATGTTAGAAAACACTTTTCACTGTACTCATAAATTTTAATTAATAACCTAAAAATATATTAAAAAAATGTATGAGGCAGTGTGTTAAAGACCTCATTTTTATTGCATTAAAAAAAATTCTGACATTTAAATAAACAGAAGCCTAAGTCTGTGAAAAACTTAATTAATATCTTAGTGTATGTCAATCCAAGCAAACAATTAACTAATGACGTGAGAGTAGCATCATATATTCATCACAATTATTGCATGTGTTGGAAGGAAACCATTAATTTGTTGGGTTTCTCATATTGATAATTGTTATACAATTTCCTTTTTCTTTTCGTGGGTCAAGGATTAAAGCACCACTTCTTGGGTTTTACATGCTGCGACAAGTTTGATGATTTGATCATAACCCTCCTCTCTCTTAGCTTTTGTCATCAGTTCTAACAAAATCATAATCAGGAGGCCCACGCTGAAGTAGATTAGTTTGGATTTAGACTAAATAAATGGCATCTTTATTTTCTGATTTCAGGCTTTAATTCCCATTTGAAGGCACATTTTCCCCCATTAAAGACCCTGATTTGAAACTCGGAAAATCAGTTTAACATTTAGCATAAACGCAATGTCCTAATTTTTGTTTAGTTTTATAAATATTATATAACTTTCTTAATTTTAAATTTTAAAAAAATATTTGGGTTCAAAATTTCACTCTAAAAATTACCCTAAGAAACTTTTGATGAAAAAAGGTCTCTTCATTTTTACATGACAACTGAGAATTAACATTTTACTGTATGGGTCTCTGTGGTCTACAAAACTGATTGAAGAGCATCGATCGTTGTCATTTGCGACGCTTGAAAATGTACTTTTCATATTTAAAACTTATTCATTTAATTTTATAAATGTTGTCATCTACAACTGGTTGTAAATATATGCGTTTCTTTTATCGAACGAAGAAGATAAGTTATTCCATAAAATGCACTTTGCGTTGAATTATTGCTAATAAAGAGTAACATAATTGATCACTAACCAATTGAATTGCAACCAAATCACTTCTCTACTTGTCTTGTTTCATGTCTCTTCAATATGATAAATATCGCATCAACAAAATAAGTTAAGGCGATTTCTTTTTTATTAAAAACATTATTTTTTTTAAAATTTGGCTCTTTTCTTCTATCGTGTGCTCACAACTTTTTTTTATTTTTTATTTCACTTTTTTTTCTTTCTTTTATTTTTCTCTCTTTATCCATTTTCTTTTTCTCGTCTTTATTTCTTTTTCTTCTTCAAACTTTACATATTATGATGTTGCTACTTGTCTAAGAGACGCGAGAGAAAATTGAGTTAAAATTGAATATATGATAAAGAGATAAAAAAAAAAGTGAACAAACATTATATAAAGTGAAAAAAAAAATTAATGGAATTCATAATTTTAATGAAAAAATTATTTAAAGTGTTTTTAAAGGTTAGAAAATTGAAATAAATTAAAATAAAATCAAAACTTATATTAAAATTGATGAACAAAAGCACTAATTTTAATGAAATCTAACAAACATGAACAAGGAAAGTTTTGTCAAAAGAACTACGTTTGAATATCATGATTAGGAGAAAAAGAGTGGAACTAGTAAGATTTCACGCTTATTTATAAATTACTTAATTAAGAAGAAAATAGTTAAATAGATTTTCTAAATTTTCTAAACATTACCTTTTTTTAGTTTTTTGTTTGGAGTGTTTTTCTCTCTTTTACTCTATTCTTTAAGAGTAAGATTTTATTTTTTTTTAAATATTTTAATTTTTATAGTGAGAATTTTTAAAATATATATATAAAAAATTAAAACATTAATTTTTAAATTATTAATTTAAAAAAAATAATTTTTTAAATATAAATAAAAGATTTTAAAAACAATAATTTTATTTACATGATTAAATCCACTTCATCCTTCATTTTTAATATTAAATATTTAAACAAGAAAAGAGTTTATACCTCCTTCATCTTCAAACACTTCCTTTTCCTTCTCTCTAAGCATCCAAACAAAATTTTTGAAGAGTCTTCTATTAAATAATTGTATAGTCGTAAGCTATTGTCCACAAACAAAAAAAAAAGCTATCCAAATATTAAAATAAATTGGATTGAAGTATATTGGATGATCAGATATTTTAAAGTAATCCATTTTGTTTAAATTATTCAAGAAAATCATTTCTTATAATAAAAACGCAAAAAATATTATGAAAGTATTTGTGGTAGTTAGTTTTGTATCTAAATTTCATAATTATCAGAAATAAAATGAAAAAAATAAAGTCAGTTAAAAAGTAATCTATAAATTTTAATTATAGGATTCAAGATTTTATCTATCATCAGAAAGTTATTTTCTTTGTTGAAAATATAACAGTTGAAAATATAACAATTGATTATAATCTAATTGCTAATATTATTTAATTAGAAACACCCACAATTTTTATTTTATCAAGTATATTATTAATTTTAGTTGTTTAATTCTTCTAGTTTTTTTCGTCCAATTCAAACATGCTAATAAATATAGGCCTTGGAACATATCCGTTATTTAGATTATTAAAAAAAAAAACCATAAATGATAACACGTATATTTTTTTATTATTTTCGGCCCCGACGTTTTTCATATTTTTTTTGTTTTTTTGGGTTGATGCTTCATTTTATCTTTTCCAAAAGCACACCTTCCTGGGCTCTAATATGCACCAATAAATATAGGCCTTGGGTTTCTACTTCTATAAACCAATCATAGTCATAGTGGGCCTCTAAAACTCTTTCAACGTGGTGGCATTTTTATTATTTTTTCTGCTAAGTATACCGCTGTAGTTGAAATTGAACAAAAACTATACTGCTCTCTCTCTCTCTCTCTCTTTTTTTTAAGGAAAAGAAAAAGTAATAATTTAGCTTCCGAATTTTATTAATTATATTATATTTTTATTATTAATTATTATTGTATACCATCTATAAAAACTAACAAGATATTTGTGACGTCGAACGAGTTATTTTATTGTTTTTATAATTAACATGTAAGTTGTTATAAAAATCATATTAATGATTAAATTAGATTCTCAGAATCAATATTAAAGTCATTTTTCAAATTGAGTAATAAAGTACGTGTTAACTGTTTATCTCATGCTCAAACGTTAAATAAAATCCTAATATAATCATTTACATTTCGTGTGTTATTTTAAAATATTTTTTCAAGGTATGTTGAAGCACTAAGATCGTATAATAAAATTTTGTAAATAGTATTTTTTATTAAAATAATAAATATTATAAAATTTAATATATTAATAATACTAAATATTATAAATTGTGTATATATTCATATTTTAAAATATACCGTTAATCACACATTAAAAAAATAATTTTAAAATACGCAATTAAAAGCAACGGAAGTTCGTTAGAATTTAACAACCAAAATCACACCACAAATATGAGTGCATCACTGGTGGGTCATGGATTTTGTGCAAAGATAGAATGTGTAAGAATATATTTTAGGTGGATTAAGAATTATTTTAATCATGAAATTAACAAATATAATAATGTTTTGTGGAATAATTTTAAAAATTTTATTTTTAATATAAAACTTTATATATATATATATATATAAACATTATTTAAGATTTATAATTTTTAAGATAATAAATATATAGTTTTTTAATTAATTTTTTTTATAAAGTCGTAAGAGGAATATTAAGAAGATAAATAATAAAATATAACAAAACTCTTTTAAGGCAGTTTTTATTTGATAGATAATATTTTATAAAAATAGAAAAAAAATATTAAAAAAGTAATATACTCTATTTCGAATTTGACAACAAATATAGTTAAATGATTAATCAATCACAAAAAGTTATATATTTGATGAACTACTAAGCAACAGGTGTTTATGGAAGGATCTCAAAAATAAGGAGTGAGATATGTGATGAAATATATTTAAAAAAAATATTTATTTTTTATTGAAGACAATTTGTTTGAGTCAAGTGAAACTATTATAAACTGAAAAGTTATCTTTTTGAGTATTTATCACAACTGTATTTATTAAAATTCAAACTTAAAATCACATTAATAAACTAGAACAGTTCTTACTAATTAATACACGTACTAAATAGTTAATGACTATTCTTGTTAGTTGCAAATTTGGAACTTTATATAACACAAAACCCATACATAATTCGAAGCTATGTTAGGTAAAGTCTAACATTGAAGAGCTAAATTACATTAATGGGCTAAGATAAAGTATAGGTTCTAATACACTTTTTTAAATATATTTTTTTATCTTTGATTAAAATTTAATAAAATTACAAAAATGTGGTCAATTAGTCTAAATGTGCTTCACTTAGGTCCAATGTTCTGGTATCAACCTGTTGAATAGAGTTACCCATGGCAACTTCAAAAACCCGTCAATGTTCTAATAGTTAACTGAATAACTTAGTGACGCTAAGTATAACTTTTTGCATTATATGGATGTAATAGTACTAGCTCTTTGCACGTGATATATATAAGAACAGTGAGAGTTTGCATATAATAGTACCAGCTCTTCCACTCCAATGCCATTTTTTTACTTTTGTTCATTTTTCCTGTGAGATTTAGGCTCTGTTTGTTTTCTAATTAAAAATTTATTTATCATTTTTTTTACGAACCACACACACTTCAATAATAATTAATTTATACATGTATTCTAATAACACTTAATTCAAAATTAATATTGTTCAGCTTTAAGTCAAAGGATCACGTGATCTTCACTGGTTTCTCTCTCTCATCACGCGCTCGGATGCACACAAGAACAAAGATTATCTACGTTTTGGTTTCTCTTTCAAATTTTCAATACTACCAAGTCACTTGTTTCAGAAATCTAATTCATATAATAATCTCACAACTATTAGATTCTATATGGAAGAACATTCACAATTGCACAAAAATAAAGCTGCCCTGCAGTTAATATTTGTAAATATACACATCCACAAAATCAAGCAATTCATCAACACATAAATCAAGTCTACATGAATCACTAGTCCCACTTTCCCCATCCATTATCTCCATTTACCTCTCCTACCAAGCACACCCTTATACCATCCATACTCCTAAAAAGGTTAGCATTCAAAATAAATTCTGAAATTTCCCTACTCTTACAAGGAAAGGCAAGATTTTTGTTACATTGATTAACATGCAGAAGCTTAACTAGTTCAAGCTTTCTTTTGCTTGGTTGATGACATAAATAGAAACCGGTAAATCAAAGCAGCTGAAGCAGCCCCTATAAAAGGACATATCCAATAGACATAAAAATGCTCCCAAGTGTTGTGCTTGTTGTTTGTATAGGCCCATCCAAAGGCATTAGCTGGGTTCATAGAAGGACCAGTGAACCCAGAACCCGGAATAACCAAAGCCACAGTAGCCACAGAAAGCAAATACACCTTAAGAAATGGGTTTTTAGGACCCCTAAGCATGATAAAAAGTATAGCCAAGCTATGAGTAAAAGTTAAAACACCCTCAGCTATAGCACCTGTATGCAAGTCTACCTTCAAGAAAGGCCCTTTCAGCATGTGCTTGTAGTGGGTTGGCATCACTAATAGGAGAGTCTTGGCACCAACAACCCCACCAACAGCTTGAGCAGGAAATCTTACAGCCATGGATGCAAGAGATGAATCAGGCCTTAGCCCTACAGTGTAGAAGGAAACAGTGGTCGAAGGGTTAAAGCTAGCACCACCCAATATTCTTCCAATGAAGCCTATGGTGAGGACATAAAGGGAGTTGAAGATGGTGGTGATCATTAGGCCTGCAACTGAAAGTGGTTGAAGACCAAGGAAAACAGCTACCTCAGTTACAACAATCCTTAAAGTTGAGATAATGAAAACCCATGTTGATGTCAAAATTGCATCTCCAATAGCAGCCCTTATCACCCCCATATCCTTTCTACCTTTTCTAGGGACTTTTGCTTTCTATGTCCCTGTTGCTTAGAGTTGGAACTCACACTCACTTTGGCTATAATGTTAATGGCTAAGAATTAGAGGAAAGTGAAGAGAAGAGGATTCTATGGATGCCAGTGAAGAAGTATATTCTATCTTGAGTGATGAGACAACAAAGCATTGTGACCCTTCCCAATAGCTGGTTTGTGTCCTTTGTGGGGTAGGCCATTGTAATTTAATTGCACTGTGACTTTTACGTCACTTTTCTTTTTTTATTCAATTTCATTATTATAATGTATAATTTCATTATAATATGTATATATATATATATATATATATATATATATATAGAGAGAGAGAGAGAGAGAGAGAGAAAATGTTTTATAATTTACAAAATGTTTTTCTTTCTAAATTAATTATTTATACACTCAACCTATTTAATAGATATATTAAATATTTAAAAAGTTATATTATAATCTAAATATGAATTATTGTGTATCAATAAATATAATTAGTTTTTATAATAATTAAATTTTAAGTTATATTTATTATATATTTTAATTAGTTAATAATATAGTTTTTTATAAATTATGAAATAATTTAAAATAAAATAAAATAAATTATTTTTCATAAATATAAGAATAAACGTAAAATTAAAAAAGTTAGATTACGTAAGGTCTCAAGATCGAATTTGGATTAAATCAAATAAAAAAAAGTTAGATTAAAATATTCGTTCGTTATTAATGAGTGGGGTCCACACAATGTTTCTCTCCCCAATCTAGGCATGAGATTGGAAACTAAGCCACGTTGTGGACCAATGCAACATAAAATATTTTTGTGGTCAATTAGGTGAGAGATATGTATTGGGTTTAACGTTATGACTTTTGAAGCCACGTTTAATTTTGATAATCTAATGCCTTTTGAAGCATCTCAAGAACAAAGGAACTCGCGGATCATTCGATGTCACATGAAGAAAAGTGTAATTGTAATTTTGGTTCATTAGTCTAGATTGTGTGTTATTTTAACACTTTAGCTTTTCATAATTAATTAAATTACTTTATTTTAAGTTTGATTTTTTATTTTTATTTTTTAACATTAATTTTTTTTTTTGGAATTTAATTAATTAAATTATTTGAAACATTTGATGTCTTGTCTTGTTTGGCATGATGGCCCAGTTTCATATTATATTAATTGATTGATTGATATAATGACAGTGATGCAAATTTTCTGCAATAAAAACAAAAGCTTAAAAACGTGCTGAAATTTAACTAATATTTTCCTTAGAAGCATGAGCTAGATAGAAATATAAAATAAAGTGATTCATTTAAGGTATATTCATTTTTTTAATTATTTAGGTTGCTTGTTTTAGTTTACCCTTCTATTAAGCATGTATAATGTTAAATACATACAACACAGAACGTAATTTTTATTTCTTTATTAAAAAAATGCTAAATGGAACTGCATAGGTCTTGCATATCTAAATTAAATCTCATCTGGGCTTCGGCGCCCTCCATTACCAAAACAAAAAACAACGAAAGGTCGTTTGTTTTATTTTTGTTTGTTCAGTGGATATCGTATCTTTAAAAAAATTAGTTAAATATTCTAATAGGTGACAACTCAAAGTATAAATTTGAATCATCTGATAAAAAAAGAAACAATCATGAAACTAAATAGCCTATTTATTTATTATCTATTAAACATTAGGTACAAATGTTTAACACTTCCATTATTATATTAGTCATATTAGCAGCTCATTGATGTTGTCATCTTGAAATTAAATTCTACATGAGTTTATTTCTAGTTTTTTTTTTATAATTATTATGCCAACCTCTAATAAATTATATTGTTTGTTGTATATAATAGCTAAGCTAAGTGAACTTAGGAAGAAAGATCCATGCACAAGGTCATATCTCCTTCCTTCAATTTGTTGTCTATAATTATTAGGCACTACCTTTTTTTACAGTTGTTGTTGCAATGCCCTCTAAACAGTAGGATCCTGTGTAGAATCCACCACCATTAATGAACATGTCTCCTTCCAATGACTATATACAACTCTCATGATGAAAACAAACTAAATGGAATCCCATTTATTCAACATTGTAAGTTTTCTTATTTAGTTTGAGCTTTGAAACAATAGTCTTTGTAGGATTAATTTAGCTTAATAGAGATGTAAGAAATGCCCACTAACCATGCATGCCTTCTTATATGTCCTCCCTTTGCCTCAACGTTATATTATCAGCGGATCTTGATCGTTTCGCTTAGATAGTTGCAATGCACTAAAAGATCATCTTTTCGTTATTATACTCTATTGAAAACCCTAAACCGTAAATCCTAAATCCTAAACTCTAAACTCCCATTCTTTTGAACTCATACTCAAAAGGGGGAAATTTTTCACGATGCAACCTTTGTGTGAGAAGGTTGTGATTATTGATCATACCAAGTGCCCCTTCAATTACATTGTGAACATCATTCTAGCACGAAAACCTAGCGAGAAAGTGATCAATATCAAATTAATCATGTCCATCTATCCTTGCAAAGACCAGTGCTTTTGAAGCCTTGTTTACAAGATCTTTAACCTTACTCATTTGACAAATTCGACAATAATTAACATTTTCCATGTAGAGTTATGCCTTCCTCTCCCCAATACATTTTCATCATGATATATCTATTTTTCACATTTGTACTTTTTTTGTGTCTGAAAATCAATATGTTCGTCATCATCTAAGTCATCCTAGTAAACAAAATGTTCGTCTAAATTCAGATCACAATCTCTTTTGTTACTTATCCCATTGAAAAAATTCGTACAGGATATATGGTTCTCCTTGTAAGAGCCATTTCAATTATAGTTGGAAAAGCAACTTTTGGAGAAGCCAGAGAAAAATTATTGTGTTCTCCATACTCAGAGCTTCTACGACAAAGGATTTTGTTAACGAACCGCGCGTTATCCCTTTGCATCTTCTTGTGATTGTGATGTATGTTATAAAATCTTTTTCTTCTCTAAAAGATATTTTTGCCTTTTTTTTCATTGGACGTGTGTGTGAGAGAGTAAAATTGACTTAAGCAACAATATTAAATGTTATATCTATTGAATATATAATATAAATTGATTTGAATAATATTATCGAATGTTGTTAAATGTAATATCTGAAATCACATAAGAGCTATTCAAGCCAAATTACACCTTTAGCTACTTACCATGATAAAAGTTCCAGTTTATTTTTTATTTTTGATGTTTTATCCCCTTTTTTAAAATACTTTTTTATTAATTGTGACAGTTTTAACTACCACCAAAGTCAATTACTTGACATAAAAAATGCCAAATTTTTAAAAAAATCAAATTGAGACTTTAAATAAATATAAAGAGTCAATGTTGTAATTTACATATTTATTAAAACAAATTTTCTTCAATACACACACATTTTTTATTATAATAGTTTTGAATGTAATTTGCATTCATGAAGATGCAAATATATTTATGTAAAATTAAAAAAATTATTACATATTTTTATTACTTTTAAATACCTTTTTTAAAAGTAATAATTAAAATTTATGATAATAAAAAATAAGTTAATAAAATTAGTTACTAGTATGACAATAAACTTGAAAAGATATTTTATTTGATTCTTAAATTGACGGTTATAATTATTTAAATATTTTAAAAATTAAAAAATATTTATATCATTTAAAATAAGCCACTAACTATCACTATTTATTATACATATTTAATATAATATGAACTGTTATAATTATTTCACATAAAAAGTATTATTTTACTCTTTAAGATATTATAAAAATTACTTAATTTTAATTATATTTATCTAAAGGACTGTGTTTTCAGGGAAGAAATTCTTTTAAACTTAATTATAAGATTGTTACTTATTTTTTTTTGTTTTCAAAATTTTTATAAAAAATAGTGAAATAATTTTGTTATAAATATTGCTTTATATAAATATTTTAAAATAAAAGATAAAACAGTAATAAGATGACATGTTTGTGATTAAAAATTAAACAAAATAAAATAACAAACTCTTAAACGATTTATAAATAGGACAATCAATGTTAATATTAAAATAAATAAAATTTCACACTAATATAATTTTTTGGAATAAGTAATTAGCACCCAAAAGGTAGTTATTGCATAATTTATTGGCTAATTGTGCTTTCTCAAGCTTTCTTTTGCTTGGTTGATGAGATAAACAAAAATCGATAGACCAAAGCAGCTAAGGTAGCCCCTACGAAAGGACATATCCAATACACATAAAATTGTTCCCAAGTATTGTGCTTATTGTTCGCATAAGCCCATCCAAATGCATTGGCCGGATTCAATGAAGGCCCTGTGAACCCTGAACCTAGCACAACCAAAATCACTGTTGCCACAGAAAATAGATACACTTTCAAAAATGGGTTTTTAGGACCCTTGAGCATTATAGAAAGGTTAATTAAGTTATGAATAAAAGTTAACACCCCTTCTACCATGGCTCCTGTATGCAAATCAACCTTCAACAAAGGCCCTTTCAACATGTGATTGTATTGGGTTGGTATCACTAGTAGGAGAAGCCTAGCACCAATAACTCCCCCAATTGCTTGAGCAGGAAATCTAATAGCCATGGATGTAAGAGATGAATTGGGTCTAAGCCCTGCAGCATAGAAGGAAACGGTGACTGAGGGATTGAAGCTAGCACCGCCCAAGGCCCTACCAATCAACCTTATGGTAAGGACAAAACAAGTGTTTAGGATGGGGGTAATGAAAAGGTTTACAATTGATACAAATTGAAGACCAACGAAAGCAGTTATCTTAATTGCAAGAATCCTCAAAACCAAGAGACCAAAAACCCATACTGATGTCAAAATTGCGTCTCCAATGGCGACCTTTGTTACCCCCATATTCTCCTTTTCTTTAAAGATTCTTGCTCCTTATGTCCCTTTCTATTCCTTGGAGTTTGAACTCTCACACACTCCCTGTATTGTTAACGAAAATGTTACCATGACACCTATAAATTAGAGTGTGATTTGATTGGAGGATGAGAAAGATAGGAAGTAAAAAAACTAAATGTGATAAATGATGCGATTGGAAAAGAATAAAATATAAATAGATGAAAGAAAAAGTGAATATAAAAGTATATAATTAACCCGATGTTAATGGCTAAGAGCTAGCGAAGGAGAGAAAAATAGTATATAAATTCAAGTGAAGAAGTTCATCTATACTCTCGTACTCTCTCTCCCTCTCTCTCTCTCCTCTCTCTCTCTCTCTCTCTCTATATATATATATATATATATATATATGTATGTATTAAATTACACAAATTGATAAAAGTTAGTCTTTAGAAAATACTATAATACAACAATATTACTGTTATTTAATACAATCTAATCTCACTGTCAAAGTTTACTCTACTTAATTTTAATTTAGGTTTTCACTAACTTTACTTATTAAAAACAAATAAGAAAATATAATAAATACCTTGCAACAATAATTAAATATCTTATAAAAAAGACTACTAATTTAAAAAAAAAAAGAAAAATTATATGTGAAAGGGTGACATCTAATCTATGCTTAACCCAAGTGTTGCCGCAAGAAAAATTCATAATCCAACTCAGAGATGGAAAACGAGCCATGTGGTGGAGTACTAATGCAGCATAAAATATTTTTGGATCAAATACTTGAGAGATATGCACTGAATTTCACAACATGGATAATAAATTAATCAAATTTAACTCTTGTTAGTGACTCAGGGATTAAAAATAAAAAAAACTAATGATTGATTAAGAGTTAACGATTAAAATTATAATTAAATATATACATCTATAATCAATATTTTTGTTTATCAATAATTAAAAGTACTTGTTGAGTCTCCCACTTTAGGATTCAATTAATTATAATAGATATAATTAAATTTTTATTATATTACAAATTTAATTATAAAATGTATTAAAATATTAAAAATATAGATATTGTAAATGATTTTTATAAGCTACCTATAAAATTTTCCAAACAGTCTTCCTCATCTTTTTGAAGCATCTCAAGAACAGGGGCAATCGTTGTTGCTTAAGAAAGGAACTCCCCAATTACTAATGTCATGAAAATAAAAAAGAGAGAAATGCAAAATAGTATGAGAGGAATTTAACGAAAATCGTTACACAATTATTATTTTATGTCAAACACTTTTTTTTTATATATTATTTTAAATTTGTAGTTCCTTGATTCCAGGGTAAAATGAAACTGATAAAAATTGAAAAATTAACTGAGTCTTATTCGGCATGCTAGCCCATTGTAAAGTTCCATTAATGAATTGAAGAATGCAATAAAAGATATGCATAGTTTATATAATAAAAACAAAACTTTAAAACCGCAAGTAGTTTATCTAATACTTTTCTTAGAACGACGGGCGAGATAAAAAAAATAAAAAATACAAGATAAAGTCAGTTATATTCATTTTTAAAATGATTTAAGTTACTTATTTTAATTTCTCCTTATTTTAAGAATAAATAATGTTGAAAATTTTAAAAAATCAATTATATTTCTTCATTTTTTTAAAAAGGAAACCAAAACGCATTGATTAAATTAACTTGTCTACTACTACTAGCCTTTCAAAAAGTTAAATAAAACGCTTTTTAAAAAATTGACGCAGATAAGTGAATTTTAATTTATGAAAAAATATTTGTTCATTTATATTTTTCTCTTACAATTATTTATTAAAATATTATATTTTAACTTTTTCCTTCTTAAAATATAATATTATAAAAACTTATAGAAAATAGTGTATATATATATATATACAACACTTAATTGCACTTTTGTTTTTTCTACTTTAATATACATGTGATTTTAATTTTAATTCTTCTAATTTTTTAAATGTTCAAAAGTTAAGTAATTTATTTAAAATTAAAAATATAATCATAATTAAATACTTTTAAAGAATTAATGTAATTATATATATATATATATATATATATATATAAGACATACATATTTTTAGATTGTTCTTAAAGCAATCTGCCAAATTTTTGCTTAATTGCACTTTTGATTTGTATTTTAAAATAACGTAAATATGATCCCCTCGTTAATTTTTGTATTAGTCAAAATCTTCAATTTTTTCTCGAAATTTAGGAGGAATTTATAATAAAATTAGACTGTGAGAGCTTAAAAGTAAGAAATTTAGTAAAAACTTAACAAAAATATTATTTTTAATTCATATAAAATAAAAGATCTAAACATATAAACTTTCTTTTTATCTATGTTATTGTTTATTCATTCCTGCGCTTTTTTTTTCCACTGAAACAATCAAAGCATTAAATTATAGATTTGGTGAGGCTTGAAATCAACGTGTAGAATTAAAATCTTGTAATACTAATGGTGTCACATTGTCAGAGAAGTTTGTTAGCGGCTATCAATGCTCAAGACCAGGAATTTCAAACAACTGCAGACAAGGAGACCCGAATGCACTGTTTCTGGATCAACATTTTCATCCTTTCATACCAAAAACAAAAAGATGAAAAAGACATATTCATCCCTGTTAGATAATAGTAATCTTCTAACATGCTAAATGTTAAAACAGCTTAAAGTCTCCTTCACATACTCCAACTCCATATTAAAACAACACCTGTTTTCATAATTCAAAAAGTAAGTTAAGTTAAACCTTGGATTTGGGTAGAAGCTGCCAATGAGTAAATTTAGAATCTAAAACTTTCTTCTATCATTAAAGCATTATTCTTTTAACAGACACAAAAATTTCAAATTTTACTATATCTTTCTTCATATATTGTTTAATTAATTTAAAATCATTAAAGGTAATTATTTAAATAAATTTTTTAACTATAATTTCTGTATTGAAACAATTTTTTTCCATGAAAATTGAGTTTCTCTGTTTGTGACAGGGACTTAACTTAGCTGTGATGAATTGGAAGGGACGCGGTCTGAAGAGATTGCTGACAGTCTTTATAAAGGTACCGTGTTGGGTACAGCTCAATTATGTCACTGGCTACTATCTCAATTCTCACACATCATTAAAAAAACCACTTGCATGAGGTTGTTCCTTAATCCCTTGTTTCTGTGGAAGAATCCTTTGGTTTGATTCTCTCTCTCCTACCGACATTATCTCTCTTTATATAATCTGTCTATAATAGACAAAGCTAAAGGCAAAAATAAAGTGTAGGCAGTGACTGCCTTGGACAAAGGAAAAGAGGGCGTTGTGTTAAAAAATAGAACTTAGTTGGTTGAAAGTTGAAGCCTATTGTTATTTTCCCACATTCACATTTGAGTTAGAGAGGGAAGGAGGAACCAGGAAATGGGTTGCTCCACTAGATTGTGTTGTCTCTTATTGTTGCTTGTGGCATGTGCTAGTGGAGAGGACCCTTATAGGTTCTACACTTGGAATGTTACATATGGAGACATTTTTCCACTTGGTGTTAAACAACAGGTACTTTTTATTTTATTTTTTTTAATTGGTTGAACAAATGGTTTTTTTCTTTGTTTTTTATTATCTTAGTTTTCTTATGAATGCATGGTTCATGACTTCAAATTGCAGGGGATTTTGATAAATGGGCAATTTCCAGGGCCTCAGATCGAGTCCGTGACCAATGATAACTTGATTATCAATGTTTTCAACAGTTTGAATGAACCTTTTCTCATATCTTGGTTAGCCTCTCTCTTTGATTTCCTTCTTGTTTATTTCACTTTTAAAGTATCTGTTGCAGAAAAGAAATGTAGAAAAAATATATTTTTTTCTTCTGTTTCTAGTGCCATTAGGGTGTCGTTTAAAAGGGACTATGCAGAAGTAGGATTATGGTTGATTGGGTTTATGGGATTATATTATTTACTAGATCTGGATAAGAAAATTGTTTGACTGGAACTGTCTCTGATTTTCTGCTGTGACAAAGAAAGATGCTGATGTGATTCAATAGTTCTTTAGGATTCTTTAACTCAAACCAAAGTGTTCATACACCTGGTTGGAGTTTCTATTGTCTTGTCACTCTCACATGTTTATTATAATGTCATTCTACTTCTTAATAAATTTGAGAAATTATATAAGATTTTTAAATAAGAATGGCAATAAATACCCCTGATCAAAATATTAAAATGTTCATGTAATCAGTAATTAAAAATGTCAGGAATAATACTGTAATAAACGTATAAATTCTAGTATTCAAGTGCCAAAAATCAGTCTTAAGACTCTAATAATTTATAGGAATGGAGTGCTGCAGAGGAGGAATTCATGGCAGGATGGAGTGTATGGTACCAATTGTCCAATCCAACCAGGGCAGAACTTCACTTTTGTTCTTCAAGTAAAAGATCAGATAGGTAGCTACTTCTACTATCCTTCCCTTGCATTCCACAAGGCAGCAGGAGGTTATGGTGGTTTCAAAATTTCTAGTCGCCCCGGCATTCCTGTACCTTTTCCTCCTCCATCAGGAGATTTCACCATATTGGCTGGAGACTGGTACAAGAGAAATCACACAGTAAGTAACTTTCTTTTTATGTATGATATTAGATTTTACTTTATAAAGTGAAGAGACATGTAAGGTGAGAAAGTAACTATATATTTATCAACCACCGTTGATTTAAAATCAGTTAAGTTTGTGCAGCATTTTAATTCAAATTAACGGTAGATGTATTATTACTTTTCTACTTTGTGTATATCCTCACTTTAGAGAAGCTAGCTCTCGATGTTATTAATCCTTTCATTCCATGCATTATAACTAAGAAACAATCTTGACTGTTTAAGAGTTTGTTTGTTTTGAAGTCGAGTAGATTTGATTTTGATAAAATTTTTGAATTGCTAAATATAATTGGGACGTGTGTCAAAATTAATAACTGTAATTTTTGTTAGAACATGTGCTTTTCATTGGAAAGTATGATAGTTGATTTTTCAACTTTAAACAAATGGACACTAAAGAAGTCATATGTTAATCATTAGTAACTTTGTGCTTATTCTTGCAGGATTTGAGGGCCATTTTAGATGGTGGAAGTGACCTTCCCTTCCCTGATGGACTTATCATCAATGGTCATGGTTCCAATGCCTACACATTCACTGTTGATCAAGGTACACTAACTTTAACCAATTTGTTTACTTTGAAAACTGGTGCCATAGCATATGCAACCATAATTGAATATTAAATTATAGGGTCCTTGATTACTGGGCAGGAAAGACATACAGATTCCGGATATCCAATGTGGGCCTCACCACTTCCATCAATTTCAGAATCCAAGGGCATAAAATGACAATTGTTGAGGTGGAAGGAACCCACACACTCCAAAACACTTACGACTCACTTGACATTCATCTGGGCCAGACTTATTCTGTATTGGTTACTGCTGATCAACCCCCCCAAGACTACTACATGGTTGTCACAACACGATTCACCACCCAAGTGTTGAATGCTACCTCCATTCTTCGTTATAGTAACTCTGCAAGAAGTGTTTCTGGCCCTTTCCCTGGAGGGCCAACTATTCAAATTGATTGGTCTATTAACCAAGCTCGCTCTCTTAGGTATTTGTTTTAAATAACCAAGTTAATTGAAACATGCTTTTATATTGTTCAGTATTAGCTAGCGTGTACTACTTGGAGATTATTTTGCATGCAATCTATAATCCTTAGTTGATCCTTTAGAGTTATAAAAACTGAGACATGCAATAAATTAGTTCCACCACAAAAGTATATTAATATTGTATTTGAAACATAATCAACTTATTCCATAGTGAATAACTAAAGATAACAAGGTTGTGCGATTTTATATCTATAACACATTTCCATGCTGACTTACGACACGTGATTGATTAAATCAGGAGGAACCTGACAGCAAGTGGGCCAAGACCTAATCCACAAGGGTCTTACCATTATGGTCTAATAAACACAACACGTACAATTAGACTTCAAAATTCTGCTCCAGTTATCACTGGGAAACAAAGATATGCTATCAATAGTGTGTCCTTTATCCCTGCTGATACACCACTTAAACTTGCTGATTACTTCAAGATCCAAGGGGTGTTCTCCCTTGGAAGTATCTCTGACAATCCCACTGGTGGTGGTGGTTACCTTCAGACTTCTGTAATGGAAGCTGATTTTCGAGGCTATGTGGAGATTGTGTTTGAGAATCCTGAAGATACTGTGCAATCATGGCACATTGATGGCCACAGCTTCTTTGTAGTAGGGTAAGTTCACCTTATTCCATTATTTATAAAAGAATTCATTCCTTTCAGCTTTAAATCTGTTACTAAATTGCGGAGTTACTGTCTTTTTTCCTTTGAACTTAAAATTTTACATTATTTTTCATAATGACTTACCATTATCATAACATTCCTATTCAATCAAATGTGCAGAATGGATGGAGGACAATGGTCAGCTGCAAGCAGGCTAAGTTACAATTTAAGAGATACAATTTCTCGTTGCACAGTTCAGGTAATCAAATTTGTTATCCTTGTCATCCAACTCTTAAATGTGTTTTTTGTTATGTTAAAATGTATTTTACTCTTTAAAAATAAGACTAATTTGATTTTATTCTTTTATTTTTTTTTATTGATTTCAATCTCATAATTTTTTTTTATAAATTAGTCTTTATTATATGATGTAACGTACATGTACACATGACCATTAAAGGCTTAATTGCACTTTTAAGTTCTTATATTTCAATCATACCTACAATTTTGGTTATATTAATTTTAATTATTCACATTTACTTCATGCTCAAATTAAATCATCTATTCTAAAATGTTATGCAATAAGTTAAAAAAAATACAAAATATTGAAATAAAAAAAAAAGTAAAGTTTTTTTTTTGAAATATTAAAACCAAATTAATTATATTTAGAAAGATTAAAGGCATATTTAAGTTTTTCTTTTCCTATCTGGGGACCTTTGCGAGATGCAATTTTCATTGACATCATTATTTAGATACTGAGAAGCATTATTTGCCTTGACATGGTTTTGGTATTGTGTTTTGGATGCACACTACACAGGTGTATCCCAAGTCATGGACTGCACTTTACATGCCTTTGGACAATGTGGGAATGTGGAATGTGAGGTCTGAGAATTGGGCTCGTCAGTATTTGGGCCAACAATTTTATATAAGAGTGTATTCTCCAGCAAATTCATGGAGAGATGAGTACCCAATTCCAAGTAATGCTCTACTGTGTGGCAAGGCAATTGGCCACCACACTCGTTCTTTATGATGCCACCAACATTGGGATTTTTGTTTAAACAGTGTCTTTCATTTCTTTGTAAGGCTTAACTCGAGCCACTCTTCTCTAGTGCTTTTGCACCATTCATGTTATAATGCCACTACCCATTATAGGAATTATAGACTGCTTCCCTTCCATGTTAAATCCAAATTCATCTGTAAGATCGTGTTTCGTTTGTGATATTCATATTGAAATTATTTTATTTTTTTTATAGGATCATAGAAACTGATGTCAATGTGCCATGGAAATAAAGGGATTGTAGCAATTATTGTAATGCGTGTTTTTTCATTAGTTTTGTTTCTTTGTGCTTATATAAAAAGGGAAAAAACTTTTTGGGTTAAAAATGGTTTTTAAAATTTATTATAATTATTTTTTTAATGTAAAAACTAAAAGATTTCTTGGTAAATTTTTAGACGGTGAAGAAATTAAGAAAAAAAATCTGAAAAAAACTTATATTATGAAATTATCTTTTAAGCTTGAGCAAATGCTTCCTTAGTACTGTATCTTATTTACTTGGTAGAGTTTGACTTACGTTAAGTTGAGAATTTAATGAACGACGTATCGAGTCTTTTTTTTTTTTTAATTAATTGTATATTTTCGTACTTTTTATTTTAAGCATTTATGATTTAAGTTAGATTTTCTTTCAGTTATGTGAGTTGGCAATACTTTTTCTTTTTTTGGAAAAAACGATACTATCCCAGTTTGTTTACTTAAAATTAAGCGCACGTTTAATGAATGTTAATAAAATATATTTTGAAAAATGGCTTAATCACATTTTATCTCAATAATTTAGTCTCTGTGTAATTTTATTTTTTATTTTAATTTCCTTTATAATGTAATAACTTTTATTTAATTATTTTATATAATTTTCTTCATAAATATTTACAAAATATGTTACATCCTTATTATATTTTGTTAATTATTGAATTTTTTTAAAATAGAGTTCATCAATTAAAATTTATAGAAAAATATTTTTGAATAATTGAAAATAAAAGATAAATAAATTCACGCATAACTTAAACTACAAAAATTAAAAATACAGCTCTGAAAATATTAATCCTAGTTGAATATTCACGTTCCCTAAAACTAGTCAACGCGAGCTACAATAAAGGACAGTAATTCAACCAAACTCAAACTCATGTTTAAGAATGAATCTGCTTTCTAGTACATTGAATTGCTAGCTAAGCAAATGATTTTGCTTTTGCATTATCGGCAAGAGATAATTTCAGACTTTTTTTTAAATATCTAATACAATTTTTAGTAATGTGTATATGTAAAAAAAATCAAATAAAAAATCCATTCATTTTTGTATTTTATTCTAGACTTTTATTTCTTTGTTTGTTTTTGTTCAGATTACAGGTTTATCCAAAAGAAACAATTATATTTGTAATTCGATCCTATTAATTAATAGTGACAGTAATATTACAAAATAACAAGAAATATATATTTCTGACAGTAAAAAGAAGGTTAAAAAAACACTATCTAAAAATATTCTTTATTATTATTTTAAATTTATTAAAAGTTATAATATCATGTGAGTTAAACTTTTAATTTAATGAATTATAGTTTTAATTTTTAATAAATCTCAATTAATACTAAAAATGTTAAAAATGAATTAATATTTTAAACACACTTGTTAAAAATAAAAATTTCATTTTTTTTATTTTTTTACATAATTTATTTAATTATTTATCTAATAGTATTTTAAGAGTAATAAAATCCTTTAAATAGGGGAAGTGTTAAACCAACCGGCCCGGGTGGACCCGTTTTATAGCTTGGAGCTTGAGTAGTGTAGTGACTAGTATTTACTGTTTTGACGGAGAAATTTTCAACCCATTCAGAATTGCCAGATATTTGTCAGAGCAATTTCTCGTTTGACATGTGTGTATATATAAATTATGGCTACTGCCACATATCTTTTCCAGTGTACAGAGAAGATGTAAGTAAAAAATAATAATTTTTATTGTGTAAAATTTATTTAAAGTATTTTTTTATTAAAAATTATATGATACTACAATTTAATATATTAATAATATTAAATATTATAATTTTAAAGAAAAATAGATTATTTATTAACTTGTTATTATGTACCTTTGAATATATGTTAAAAAATATAATAAATAAATAATAAAATTAATTTATATTAACTAATTATTTTAAAATATTAATTTTATAATTAATAAATATTTTTAAATTCTATTACCAAAGCGAATTTAATACTATGCAGAATGGTAGCTTGGTAGCCAACAATATACGTGTCGGTAGAGTTGACCAGCTCATTTCCGCGTAGAATCTATGCGACCATACACTAGTTACTAATTACACCAAATATTGTTTATTTTCCAAGAATATTACAGAGTAGAGTGAAAAAGTTTCCCTAATATATATGTTAAAGAAACTGATTTATGCATTTTTTTTGTCTTAAACATATATTGGTCTACGTACATATCATGTAGTCTAATACACCTATGATTTATATTTTTTTCATTTTTAACTGAGTAATGTTATTTATGTAATTGATTCATGCTAATAATTTTAACGTATTCACCTTGTTTAATTCCTTATTATATAATTTATTTAATCTTGTATATATATATTTTAATTTGATCCAATATATATATTGACATATAAATTTATTGTATAAACATGATTACTCTTCGTTAGGTTTTCATAGTTAAGAAGTATGGTTTTTAGATTCAGTCTGCTTAATTAATGCTGGTTTGATTATCTTTTAATTTAATTTTCTACACTAAAATGTATATTTTAAAGTAAAATTTATTATTGGAATTAATTTAAATATGCATTTTAATTTCATTTAACAATTTAAAATTAACTACATCAAAGTATGGAACAAAGACATTCAATTCAATTTGATTATGAATTAATTCCGCACAGTTAAAGTTTAAGACTTTAAGACTAATCTATGACTATTGTAATTATTTATCAACAGTGAAGTCGCTATAGTTATATACGTATACTCAAACACATTTATACATCAATCATAAATGTATCTACTGATACACTGCATGCAGCAGAAGTCCACGTAGCTGGGTTTTGACTTTAACATTATTTCCACTTGTGATGGTTTAATGTTGACCCTAATTCCCCAACGGTTCACAACACGCACCATTAATAGACATTGATAATAGAAGTGGCTAGTGAACGAAGCCTATAAAAGCACACTGGTCATTGTGCAAGAGCAGCAAGTGGACAAAGCGTGTAGTATTTGATTTTTTTGGCAATTATGGGTGGGAAATGGCTTTCTGCGAGTGTTCTTGTTCTATGCATTGTTCTTCAGTTGAGTGTGATTGCTGTTGATGGTGATCAGAAGCTTGACCAAGCGAGGTTTGGAGATGATTGTCGATTTGGTGGTGGGCCACGGTGTAGGGGTTGGATGGGCCGTCGTGGGCCTCGTGGTCGTGGTGGGTTTGGTGGTGGATCAGGTTTTGGTGGCGGGGGAGGTCTTGGAGGTGGTGGCGGTGTTGGCGGCGGTGGCGGTGGCGGCTTTGGAGGTGGAGGAGGAGGTGGTGTTGGAGGTGGAGCTGGTCATGGCGGAGGTTTTGGTGCTGGGGGAGGTGTAGGCGGTGGAGTTGGAGGAGGCATTGGTGGTGGTGGAGGAGGAGGTGCTGGTGGTGGTGGAGGAGGTGGATTGGGTGGTGGGTCGGGACATGGTGGAGGGTTTGGTGCTGGTGGTGGTGTTGGTGGAGGAATAGGTGGTGGAGCAGGTGGTGGGGGCGGCGGAGGAGGAGGAGGTGGTGGTGGTGGATTGGGTGGTGGCTCGGGACATGGTGGAGGCATAGGCGGTGGGGCAGGTGGTGGTGGTGGTTTGGGTGGAGGTTCAGGACATGGAGGAGGATTTGGAGCTGGTGGTGGTGTAGGAGGTGGTGTTGGTGGAGGAGGTGGAGGTTCAGGACATGGAGGAGGATTTGGAGCTGGTGGTGGTGTAGGAGGTGGTGTTGGTGGAGGAGGTGGAGGAGGAGGAGGAGGAGGTGGTGGTGGTGGTGGTGGGGGAGGAATAGGTGGAGGTTCAGGACATGGCGGGGGCTTTGGGGCAGGTGGGGGTGTAGGAGGTGGAGCTGGTGGAGGAGTTGGTGGAGGAGGGGGAGCGGGAGGTGGTGGCGGCGGTGGAATGGGTGGAGGTGCAGGTCATGGAGGAGGCTTTGGTGCAGGTGGTGGTGTTGGAAGTGGAGGTGGAGCAGGTATAGGTGGTGGTCGTGGTGGAGGGATCGGTATTGGAATCGGCATTGGAGTTGGAGTTGGGGTTGGAGCCGGAGCTGGACAAGGATCCGGTACGGGTACGGGTACAGGTGTTGGTGGAGGAGGTGGGGGTAAATAATTATTCATACTCATAAGGTTATATATTATGGATGAAATGGACCCTTTGGCTAACCCTCAAAATCAATCCTTTAATTTATGTGATCATCATATAAAGTGTTTCTTTTTCAAGATTTCGAACAGTTTGTTCTATTACCATTACGAGATCCCTGTTAGTTAGTGACACTACCCATTTGGGTACGTGATCGCAATTTTTCTTTGTAATAACAAGTTTACTTGTGGTCAACGGTAATTGATATTGTAATAGCTCGTAACTATCTCGTTTGAGAAAACTGTAATAAATTACATATTTGCACAAAACACTTTTTTCCCAAATTCTGGTTTAATATATTGTCATTAATAGAAGTTATCTCTACTTCGATGAATAGATACTGTTATCTGTTAATATGAAGTAGCTGTAGTATTGAAGTTGTGGGTGCAAGTCACCAAAACTGCATTAATGCTTTAAAGTTTCAAACTCTCTGTGTCGCTATGTGGATCTAAGGCTGAGGGAACCTCCCCTGCCTCTCCTTATCTTTGTTAGTACAGTCATTATTATAATTACATTTGCTCAAAGCGTGCATTAGTCTATATATGGAGTACGTATAATTAATATTCTGTTGCTTTTTTGTTTGAGAGAACAATAGGAGTACGCTTAAATTTCTCTCACGGCATTAAAATAGAAATGTCCTTTCATCTTATGGGGTAAAAATCAAGTGAAATTTTGGATAAAAATCGTGAATTTAATTTTTGCATGTGCATTATGCAACATTCACATGCTCTCATATACTATTGTTCGATTATTATAATCCAAACCATCAACTCAAATATTGCTAATGTGACGTCCTTTTTCTTTCCACACGCAAGATTTATTAAACAATATTATAGTGGCATGTCTAAGAAAAATCCACCAACATCAACGACCAATATATATGTCTTTGTCTAACTTACCTCAAGCTATATTTTATCCTCGTCAAAAGTTGCCATATCTAAAAAAGTTAAATGACCAAATCTACTTAAGAAACTTTTTGGTGTTCCACTACTCACTAATCCATACGCCAAGTAAGTATCATTCATTTTTCTATTCTTTTTGTCATGGACTTTATCGAAAAGAATTATCCCAATTCCCCAAAACGTTAATACAGAACGTACATTTTAGTCAGCTTGTAGCAATCTTCCAAGATAAGCAATCTAATTTAAAATCATTTTAATTAATTAAAACACTAAATAGGTAATTTTCTTTATAGATTTTTTGTCAAAAATATCAAAATTATTATTATTAGGTGCTAACATATTTATTTTATTCGTATCGTTATGAAAATTAACCCACAATTTTAATAAACATTTGCGAAATGTTATTAAATTGAGCATCTCTCTAATTTATTTACCCCAATGTCACTTGTCAGTTCCTCCCAAACTTCAACATAAAAATGCATTTCTTATTATGTTCTAAAACGGACACGTCATAAGGGCAAAGTTAGAACAAACAGCACACCCACTGTCCATATGATATACCATAATATTCAGAAGAATCTGGACCGTTGATACAATATCAAAGATTCTGCAATGCATTGTATATAATACAACACTCAACTTGTGTGTGCATAAACAAACCTACATTTTTTTTATTTATCTTTCTTTGAAGGATAAAAAAGTAAAACAATTTTTAGCTAAAAAAACCATATAAATTTCTTAATTACTTAACAAAAGAAGATTAAAAGCATAAATATGCAGGATGGGATTTTAATACAAAAATTTATCTTAATAAGACATTGATTTTAATCCTTAATTTAGTGAATTTAGTGTCATTAACTAATTTGATTTCCAATAATATATACAATTAAACAAATTTAATTCTTGATTCTCGTATCTATCAAACAATCACTTATAAAATTAGTAGCAGTTATTAATTTGGTTAGTAACATCATCAAACCAATTAATTTTACTTCTGCCGCCTTCAACACTATTAGTTTATCTTCTAAGATTAAAAATTAGATCAAATTAAATATATAAACATCAAGACTATATTGACATAAAAAAAACTATTTTTAAAGAAACGATTGTTTTAAATTTTGTAGTGTATAAAAGTATAAAAAATATTTATTCAAATTTAAGCGGTAGGAATCAAATAAATGAAAAAAAGTTGTTAGTTGTTAAGGTGGTCTGAAGCACGTAGGATCATAGCACTGGAGGATCCACTATTGTAGAAGTGTCCCTTCCCGCCGTTTGAGTCGCAAAAAGTGTGAAGCGAGTGCGTTTACTGTTAAGCCATCGACGTCTCTTTGATCTTTACGAAAAACCTCTCTTCATTTCGAAACCCTAAAACTCTCTCTCTTTCTCTCTTGCTCTGTTTCCTCCTTCAATGGAGCTTCGTTCTCGTCGACGCCTTTCCAATTCCATGTCATCCGGTAATAATATCTCTCTTTATGTAACCTTCTATTTTTCTCATTTCTCATTTCTCGTTTGCCTTTTTTTCTGTTTCTGGTTTGGATGCTGACTTTGTTATATGTGGTCGCTGAGAATATGTTATTCAATGATGGGCTTTTGGATTTTGGCCATTCTACTGTTTTTTTTTTGTCGTTAGCTGAAGTGTTTTGAATGGAATCTGATTCGAAGTGATTAGGGTGGACTCTCGATCGTTGGATTATTGAGTTGTTGAAGATGCGTTTTTATTACTGTTGATTGGGTTTTCTTGTGTGTAGTGTTGAGCTGAAATTGGTTGTTTCAAATGTAGCGGTTTATTTTGTGAGAATATTGGGGTATCTTCATCGGTGTTTGTTGTGTGTAACTTAGCAGAAGGGAAGGAGATGCAGCGGAGGGATGCTTTTGGGGAAGTTGAATTTAATGCTCAGTGCAGCTTTAATACCAATGAAGACGTTTATGGTACATTTTCAAGATCGGATTCTAATTATGAAGGTATATTTTTTGCCTTGTTGGAGATTATGTGATGAATTTCGTTTTAAGATGTTGCTGAGTGTTACCTACTTTAAAGGAAAGGAGATCCCTATCTCTGAAATGTTTGTGGTCTTAAACTCGTGGAAATGTTTGTGATTTAGTAAATCGCTTATGATTGTAGTTGACTTGTGTTTGGGCTTTGAATGAGAAGAAAGTGGAGTAAAATTCACTAGAAAGCATTGCCTTTCCTGTTTGGAAGAAGATTGAAAACTTTTTAATCTTGCAAATTTAGTGATGAATTTCACCCTGGTGACACTGATATGGCTGAAAATTTTTCTTAAAATTATTTCAAAACAGATGAAGACTTTGGTGGGCACTTGCTGTTTGACTTGAATCAGGAACCAACTTCAAGCGTTAGTGTTTCTGATGGAGAAGATAATGTTTCTGATTCATCTGATGGTAGCAACCCTTTATCTAAAAGGGGAAAGGTGCAATCCAGAAAGAAAAGAAAAAAAATGAAGTTGAAAAATGGAGTAAACAGTGATGTAGAGAAAATGATGGAGCAGGGGGATAATGAGGAATACTCAATAGCTTTCCGTCAATCGGTTCTCATCAATTTGACTAACGTGAAAAAGAAGAAAAAGGTGAAAAAAACAAAGGAAGATTCTAAGACAGTGTTATTGTGGAATGTTTGGGAAGAGGAGCAAGAGAGATGGATTGATGAGAATATGTTTATAGATATTAACTTAGATAATGAGAGTGAAACAATGAATGAAACTGCTGATGCATCCTCAGATCTGACTATGCCTTTGCTAAGGTATCAAAGGGAATGGTTAGCCTGGGCTTTGAAACAGGAAAGGTCTGCAACTAGAGGAGGAATCCTTGCTGATGAAATGGGAATGGGGAAGACTATTCAAGCAATTGCCCTTGTCCTTGCCACGCGTGAATTCCATCAGATGAGTTGTGAACCAGATAAACCGCTGCCTTCACCAGGGTCATCAAAAACATTACCTACAGTCAAAGGAACACTTGTCGTATGTCCTGTGGTTGCTGTCACTCAGTGGGTTGGTGAAATTGATCGGTTTACATTGAAAGGAAGCACCAAGGTGCTGGTTTATCATGGGGCAAGGAGAGGGAAGAGTTGTGAACAGTTTTCTGAGTATGATTTTGTAATAACCACATACTCTATTGTTGAGTCTGAGTACAGAAAGTATATGATGCCTCCTAAGGAGAAGTGTCCGTACTGTGGAAAATTATTTTACCAGAATAAGTTATCTTATCACCAGATGTATTTTTGTGGACCTTATGCAGTTAGAACAGAAAAACAATCAAAGCAAAATAAGAAAAAGAAAGGGGATGTTACTGAACAGAAGATCAAAGAATCAAAGTGCCAGAATGGAGAATTGGAACAGGGTTTTGTCAAGAAAAAAGGAGAGGAATTGCTCGTCAGAATGGAAGACTCAGATGTGGTAAGCAAGGAGAAGTCATTTTTACATGCTGTAAAGTGGCAGAGGATCATACTGGATGAGGTCAGTTGTGATAATGTACTATGGTTAAAACCTAATAAAATTGTACTACTTCTATCTTTCTATAAATTATTCTATGAAATTAAAGCATTATTTTATGTTTTTTTGTTGTTTGTTTATTGTTACTCTCTCTACTTCTAAACAAATGTGAATTTGCTGTCTTTCTCGATTGAGTATGCCTTAGTAAACTTTGTTGTTATCCGTTATCTTGTACTTACTGATAGGCAAAAGTAAAGAAAACAGTGAATTATAGCTCATGCTACATTTTTTTAAACCTCAAATAGTCTATTTTTGTGTTTCTTATTTTATTGCAAACATTATGTTATGACATGATCATTGTATGTTATACAACTTAGTTGCACTTCTAGTTCATTAACTTGTTGTCTTTCTTAATATAAAAAATAGGCACATTATATAAAATCTAGACATTGCAACACTGCAAAAGCAGTTCTTGCTTTAGAGTCTTCCTACAGATGGGCATTAAGTGGTACACCCCTTCAGAACCGTGTTGGAGAGCTATATTCTCTGGTAAATTTACAGTCTTTTTAGCTGTAATATATCAATTGTGTTTTTAATATAATTTGTCAAGGAACTATTCTTCAAAAAAGCTGTCAAGAGGAGGATGAGGAATGGTTTTATATCACATATCCAACAATCTAACTATAATGCCATATGTGCAGGTTCGATTTCTTCAAATAGTTCCTTATTCCTACTACTTGTGCAAGGATTGTGATTGCATGACACTTGATCATAGGTATGTTTTACATTCACTATATTAAATGAACTGTGTGGATTCTAATTTTGCAGCGTAGTTGTATTTATGGAATTGATAAGTTAATTTAATACTGAGGGCTTGCTTATTATTAACTGACTTCTTACTTGTCAGTTTCTTTTGTTGTATTATTTCGTATCAATCTGTAGATTGTGTCAAACTTGAAAGACTTGTGTCTATCCACTGATGGGTGCCACTCATATGCAGCACAGAAAGATACCTTTTTATTTAGAGAATATTTTATTATATCTAAATGTTTATACTCATGAGTGAAACTTTGCAATGTTGAGGTTCCTGTAACATCTGAATCTTTCTTTTTACTACTTTCAAATGCTTAATCATTATGCTGTTTTGTGTCTTTATCCATGTATGCATAGGCACATTTGCTTTTACATTATTGAATCGTTGACTTTATTTGTTATCCCTGTGCCCTTGTGCAGCTCCTCTAAACAATGTTCAAACTGCAGCCACAGTTCTGTTAGACATTTCTGTTGGTGGAACAAAGTAAGTTATCCCATTTATTGGTCCTTTTGTGTTCACCATTTTAGAAACTAGAGAGACAAAGAAAGAGATCTAGTCCTTGCAATTTCACAGAAATTGTTTTACCTGACATGTTCTTTATAATTCTTGTTTAATCCTGATTAGTATATTGCCACACCAATTCAATCATATGGATATGGTGATTATGGGAGAAGAGCAATGATATTGCTTAAACACAAAATTTTAAAGAACATAGTTCTAAGGCGCACTAAAGTAGGCAGGGCTGCTGATCTTGCACTTCCTCCAAGAATTGTAAGTTATTGTTTCACATGCAATTAAATGTGCAATTATGAATGTGAAAAACTAAATATTTTTTTTAATACTACATTTCTACTTCCAGGTTTCATTGAGGAGGGATAGCCTGGATATAAAAGAGCAAGACTATTATGAGTCGTTATACAATGAAAGTCAGGCACAGTTTAATACGTATGTCACACTCTTTATCTTACTGTAAAATATGATAAGACTGATTTGTCTTTGAAAAGAGTGAAATGTTTTTGACAAGAATGAAATTATATTTATTTTGTGTGGACGAATGCTTGGATCAAATCATCAAGTTATGAATTGTCAACTTCTCTCAAAAAGGGAAATAAGAAATTGATAGAAACAAACAGTTGAAATGAACAATTTTATTGATTGATTGAGAATAGGAGAAATAATCCTCCACCTTGGGTTTTTCCTTCACAAAGGGTTCCTTTCTTTCATTCAAACATTCTAATTCCCCAAATGCCTTTTTCACCTATTTATTTAATTGATCTAACTCCTAACTCTTAACAGAGGGAATTCTGGTATTTCAATGCATAAGCTAGAAAACTCCATCTGAAACTTTTACCTAGAATCTGATTAGTTGTACTTGGCTTGCCATACCTTGACTGAAGTATGTATTGCCTAATTGTTTTACCTGTATACAAGAATAATATAATTTTTTATAATTAGTTTACCTATAGTTATTCTTACTTTTCATTTGTAATGGGAAAAGAATTTCTATTTTTTATTTAACCATGAATAATTTCAATAGTTTTTTTTTTATATAAATATTTTACTTTTTGAAAAGCCAACATAAATCCTGGATGTCTTCATTGATATGCTTTCTCTTTTTTCCAGATATGTTGAAGCGAATACTTTGATGAATAATTATGCTCATATATTTGACCTCCTCACACGGCTACGGCAGGTGATTGATTATTCTAACGGAACATAAAAGAAATCAGAGACTTCTGTTCTGTAATTGATGTGGGCCCTCTCCCCACGCCAAATTTGGATAAATGTTCAACAAGAATAATCTTCATTAAATCATGGACTTGCTGATATTATTGGCCATGCAAAACTGTAGAATTTTTAAGTTCCTGAATTTCTAGTTGTTTGATCATGTTTCTAAGATCATTGTTTTTTCATGTTAGTGATTTTCATTTTGAATCAAACAGTAGAACATACTTTATAAGAATGTATACCCTGGACATACAAGTTAAAGAATGTGAAATCATCTCAATGATAAGAGTATGGTAATATGCCAATAACAATAATCATGAATTGAAAAGACACTGTAGGATAGTTATTCATTATTTTCATTTTAAAACTGAGTAACCTGTTTGAAATATGATTATATGCTGTTAGGATCAATTCCTAACTTCTACTCTTCGAGAATAGAACGCACACTATGGCTAATAGATAATAAGTTGTTAATAGATAGGATTTAAATGTTAATAAATAAGATTAGTTAGTTAAATAATTAGTCAATAGTTATCTTGAAAAGATATATAAATAGCTAACTCTGTATATTGAAGAATTATGTAAGAAATATAAAATTACGCAGTAAGTTTCTTATAATTTGTGCAAAACCGCCACGTCCCGTCCTTCTTTTTGACTAGTACAATGGAAGAAGCAAAGGCACTATGGCTTTCTCTAATGAATCCCGTGTCTAGCATCTCTTGCACCGTGGCTTCGAACAAATAGACGTATCATTCATCAAATTAATCTTGTGATCATACTTCTTGGAAGGAGGTAATTCTGTCGGTTCCCTGAATAGATGATCATACTATTGTAGGAGGTTTGTCAATGCTGTATTTTACACTGGTCCACATCTTCCTTGATAATGCTAGTAAGCCTTAAGTCATCACTAATAGAAGCAATTGCTAATAACATAGCTTGGCCGGCCACTGCTTTGACTTTCCCGACAAATTCCTGAATGCTTCCCGTGTGCTTCTCGCCTTCCAAAAGGACCACTTCCCGATTGTGTTCAAACTGCATTGTCAATTGTGCACAATTCCAGCGAATTTCTCCTAAGGTTTTTAACCATTGCATTCCTAGGATGACTCCATAGTGAGACCCAAGTAACACCAAAAAGTCTCCCACAAACTCATGTTTGTCAAATTGCCATTGCAATTGAGCACATTTTCTATTCATCAGAATTGGCTTGTCACTAGCAACCAAGACAGGGAACTCTCTTACAAAATGAGTCTTTAACTCTAAGCTTTTAACCCATCGATCACTCACAAAGTTGTGAGTGCTGCCAGTGTCCATTAAAAATGGAACCTTTTGCCTCTTAATAGTCCCTTGCAGCTGCAGGGTTTGCTCGCCAGCAACCCCCTTTAAGGCATGAAGAGAAATTTGAACATCTTCATCTGCTAAAAGCCGATCACTAATGGCGAACACCTCATCGTCTGGATCCAATTCACTAGCCGCAGTTCCATCTTTATCCTCAGCTCCTTGAGCAGCAAATATGGTAGTTAACCTTCCCCAAACTTTACACTTCTGCCTGTGGAACCTGTCCCAAGTCTCGCCACAAAATCTGCATAATCCCTTGGATATTTGATCATTCATCTCCTCCTTGTTGGTAAGTACCACTACGCTGGTTTTACCTTCCTTAGCGGCAGTAGAGTTCGTAGATAGTGGAGGATTGGTTTGCTGAAGACTTGTGATTGGGGTTGTTTTCGGCACGTAGCTAGCGGATGACCAGCTTCTGGAACTGCCCATGTTACCCTCAGAGCCATAAGGTCGTGGCACACAAAACTTAGTTTCCAAATCCATGAAGATCTCATGTTGCAGTCTTGCAACTCTCATGGCGTCCTGAACTGTCCGCGGGACATGGAGACGTATAGATTTTTCCAAAAAAGGGTTTAAGCCTCCCAAGAAAAAATTGATTGCTATATCTTCAGACACAACCACCCTTGCCAAGAGTTCATCAAACCGTTCCATGTAATCACTCAATGTTCCGTCTTGCTGTAATTTCGACAATTCAGCAACAGGATCATCATAATTCTCCGAATCAAATTGACAAGCAACATCACGCAAAATAATCTTCCAAGAAGGTAACTTGGATCGATTGTGTGCAGTATAGTGGCGTTGCCAAGTAAAAGCTTTTCCCTCCATAGACAAAAGCAAAAGTTTACCGTGTTGTGCATCAGGGGTGTTTTTCAAGTCAAAAAATTGCTCAGCTTTGGCACGCCAATCACGATAATTTGTACCATCGAACATGGGAAATGCAATCTGAATTGGTGCGATAATCTTGCTAGCATCAGAGTCAGACTCACCTTCTTCTTCATGCTCTGTGGTTGATTTGCTTGGGTCGCCGTTGGGATTCAATGTCGCAAGGAGTTGCACCATCATCGCCTTCATCGAATTGATGTCTGCCTTATGACTCTTTTGCGATTCCGTGAACGCTTTCTGATTTTCTTGGTGAATTTTCAAATTTTCTTGTTGGGAGGATTTCATCAATTTCTCAAACCCGTCAATTCTGATCTCCAAATCTTTGTTCATGGTTGAACTGCCCATCGTAGCCAGCTATTCTGATACCAATTGTTAGGATCAATTCCTAACTTCTACTCTTCGAGAATAGAATGTACACTTACTCGTGGAGTTTACACACGAGACCAACAGGACTTAACAAAGTCTGCACAAGTTTATATTCCGTACATGATTTTTCAATGTACAGAGTCAGCTATTTATATATCTTTTCAAGATAACTATTGACTAATCATTTAACTAACTAATCTTATCTATTAATATTTAAATCTTATCTATTAACAACTTATTATCTATTAATAACTAATTACGTATAACATATGTTCAATAGTCTCTATTTTAGTCTTCATTTTTTGTGTGGGTACTGGAAAGTCAGTTTCCTCAATTTTTATTAAAGGAAAAATCAGACTTGTACTCTTGTTCTGCCTCTGGGAGGTGTTAGTGTGTTTCTGCCATATGTCTCATACATCTCTGGCTTAAATAAGCAGGCTGTTGATCATCCGTATCTTGTGGTATATTCTCCAACTGCAGCATTAAGAGGTGGGAACTTGGCTAGTAATGGTGACGTTGAACAAGCATGTGATCTTTGTCATGATGCAGTAGAAGATCCTGTGGTAAGTTCATCTTTTATTTTTCCAAATAAACATTTATTTCATCTTTTTCTACTTGTATGAGGAAATCTTGCCAATTTTAGTGTCCTGCTGATTTTCCTTCAAGTTTCCTTTCCTTATTGTTTCAGGTAACCTCTTGTGAGCATATTTTTTGCAAGGCATGCTTGATAGACTTCTCTGCTTCCTTGGGACGACTATCATGCCCCTCATGCTCTAAATTACTTACAGTTGATTTAGCTTCCAACAAGGATATTGGGGTTCAGGCTATTAATAAAACAACAATTAAGGGTTTCAGGTCCTCTAGCATTTTAAACAGAATTCAGCTGGAGAACTTTCAGACAAGCACTAAAATAGAGGCATTGGTATGCATCATAAATTTGTTGCATGATATATCTTTTTAGTTTCTTCATGTCTGGCAACTACAAGTAGTGCAGGTAGCAAGTCTGAGTAGTTAAGCCAGCTTCTGGTTTACTTTTTCTTTTACCCATAGGAGTACAGTTGATTAAGGGATTAGTGTTTCTTAAAAATTCATATGTGGCATGCATGTTAGAAGAAATTTTAGTTGTTACCCTTTTTGACATAAAAATTCCTGTGGCTTATATATGTAAATCTTGCATCTGAAAGGATGTGATTGTGGAGATTGATTTGTGTGTGTGTGTGTGTGTGTGTGTGTGTGTGTGTGTGTTGGGGGGCGGGGGGGTTTGCAGAGAGAGACTGGCCATAAACTGAAATAGTGCTTCTATGGATGGGGGAAAAATGCTTTTTTCAGTTGCTCTATATTCTCTATTCTATGCATACCTTTCACAATCTCTCATTACCCCTCTTGTACCTGAATGAGTTGAAATGGTTGTAGAGAGAAGAAATTAGATTTATGGTTGAAAGGGATGGTTCTGCCAAAGGGATTGTTTTTAGCCAGTTCACATCATTCTTGGATCTCATAAACTACTCCCTGCACAAGGTAAATTTACTTGTCACTTTATATTTTGTCAAGACCAAAAAAATTATACGGACAATAACATTGTGTTCTAATTGCAGTCAGGGGTATCTTGCGTTCAGTTGAATGGAAGCATGACATTGGCTGCTAGGGATACTGCCATTAAAAGATTTACTGATGATCCAGACTGCAAAATTTTCCTCATGAGCTTGAAAGCTGGAGGTGTTGCTCTCAATCTGACAGTAGCATCACATGTGAGCAATCTCCTTTTACATGTTTTTGTCTACCTTTTGATGTTATGCTGTGTTGGTTTTTAAGTTTAGTTGTAAAGTAGCAGAAATAATTTTTACATTACACTTTATACAAGCTTTGCAATCCTTTTCGTAAATCAGTTCATGCATTCTAGAATTCTAGTGTATGATTTGGCTCCATTATTTTGTTCATTTATTGCATAGGATTTTCTTTTTAATGGAAAGAGTTTTTCCCTTAATTTACTTGCAATTCAATTCTATGACTTCTATATTGTTCTTTTTACGTTTTGTGCTTAATTGTGCTGTTATGCTGCATTTATTTTAGTGTTGGGCAAATGTTTTTTCTTCATGATGAAGTTGAGTATGTTCTCATTTGTGTCCTTGAATTGTTTTTCCCATTAAACTAGACATGACAAATAGATTTCTTGTCATTGTTAGACTAAGTTCTTATTTGGTTTTGTGACTTTGTTTATTGGGTATGCTCAGGTTTTCCTTATGGACCCTTGGTGGAACCCTGCAGTGGAGCGTCAGGCTCAAGACAGAATTCACCGGATAGGTCAATACAAACCAATCAGGTGCTGCTTCTTGCACTTGTGAAACAAAGTAGAAAATGGAGAAGTTAATGAAAAAACAGGTCGGAGAGTTGTTTTGAAGTTTGACATTATTTGCATGTACAGAATTGTGAGATTTGTCATTGAAAACACAATCGAGGAAAGGATTTTGAAGCTCCAAGAAAAGAAGGAGCTAGTGTTTGAAGGGTAAGTGTGTCATGCGAACAGGATCAAAGAGGTGCTTCATATTTTGCCATGATAAGTAATGACATTTGCTTTTTTATCCCTCCCTTACTAGGACTATCGGTGGCTCTTCTGAAGCTCTGGGGAAATTGACAGAGGCTGATCTGAAATTTCTCTTTGTCACTTAAACCTGATTTTTGGCGGCAAAATCTGTGGCTACATTCTGATATGCATTTTGCAGAATTATTTTTTGATGATATTTATCATGTAAATACGCTGTAGCTTATCAATATCAATTTGCAGTAAATGCACTAGCTGTAAAAAGGTATGTATTATCCCACTTAACATTTTACATGCTACGATGCTGTTGAATGCTAACCAGTGGGATTTTGATGCACCAGGATTTGTATTACAAAAAAAGAAGTTAACTTGTGAGTTATAAAAACCTTAACCACAAAAGATGTCTTGGAGTCATCGGAGATTGAATCTTCGTTTTTATATGACTACTAATACCTTGCAGGTGATTGATGTTTTTATGTTTAGCTGGACTCTGGTGTTAGTGCCGGATGTGACTTAGTAGGAAGCCTCCGTACTTCCTCCCCATCCACTCCGTGGAGTTTAATTAAAAACATTAAGAATTTGGTTTACCCGAAAAGTTGAGTGGCACTTACGCTCGATGGTTTAATATGTGACATAAAATCATCCAGTGGCATGTTTGGATTCATGTTGAATTCATTTAAAAGTTAATTTCTATAACACTATAAATTATAGTTTTAATGATAAAACAAGGTTTTGTAGAGATTCCAAACACCTGGCTGGGCCAAATAAGTCATTTTTCTGAAATTGTAGTCTTTTCCTTCAATTTGGTTCATAAATTTCAGTTATTTTGAGCTTTAATTCCAATTTTTATCTTCTCAATTAAGTCAATTTGTAACATTTTAAAGACTTAACTAACGATTTTAAATTTAAGAAGCCAGATAAGAAAAAATTGCATATTTTAATAAGCAAATTATTTACGTGCTAATCAAAGAGATTTAGTGTATGCTTGTTCATAGTTACACATTTCAAAATTATTTCTTTTAAAAGATTAATGGTTAAAAAAAGGTGTACATTTTATGAGACACATTGAGAGCCTATTTGTTTTCTCTTTTTAAATATAATTTTTTATTTTTAAAAATTAAAAATATAAAAATTTGTTTGTTAATTTAAATTTTAAAAATATTTTTTTACTTTTAGTTTTTAAAACTAAAAATCAGAATTACTGTGTTTTTGTTTTTTATTTTTCTATTTCTCTTTTCAAAACTAATAAAAATTCAATTAAAAGCAATTTTAAAAATTAAATTACTAAACAAATTTTATTTTTATTTTCTTTTTAAAAACGTTTTTATAAAATTACTTTGAAGTGTGTAATTTTTAAAAACTAAAAATCAAAGTTAAATCAAACAAGCCCTCAATCTTTTCAATTTTATAACAATTGATTATATATCTCAACCAATAAGGGCCAATTGTTTTAAACATGTTGACTTAAATAAAAGTTTAAAATTTGTGTATAAAAATCAGTTTTTTTTATTTAAATATTGTAAAATAAAAAACAAATTGTTAATTTATTGCTTTTCTTAAATTATTTTAGTGTCTAGAGTGTGTTAATCCACATGGCACAAGTTTTGCCAAAATGATTGACGAAAATATTAATTTTTTGTTTTTAAAATAAATTGTTATTAAAAATACAAAATAATTAGATTGCGACATATGTCAATATCAATCTAATTTGACTAATTTTAAAGTATGATTGGCGAAATTAAATGTCAATTTCATCATACAGAGTCTGAAACCCTGAAATAGTGACATGTATCATAATCTAAGTAAGTTTTGCTATAAAAATTATATAAGTGGTACAATTTTAGCCTATTACATGAATTTACCTTCATTAAATATAATAACATAATCAAACAAAATTTAATTTTAATTTAGATACAAATCATTATCACATTTAAAATAAAAATTAAATTATAAACATAATACTAGAAAAATATTTTTTTATTTATATACAAATTTAAATTACATCTTAATCAAATAAATTTAAATCATTAACATGATTAAAATTTTTATCATTAAATATCAATTATAATTATATTAAAATTAAAAAAATAAATTACTAACATAATACAAAAAAAAATTATATTTACATACAAATTACTATTAATTCTTCGTTAAAAAAGTTTAAATTACTAACGTAATTACAATAAAAAATTTTGTTGATTTTTGTCAATTTTCAAATTACATACATGCGATTTTATTGATTTTTTTCTAGTTAAAGAATATGCGCAATGGATATTTTTTTGGGCCACAGAAAATAAATTTTAATTTTTTGAAAATGATGCAATAAATTTCTTTATTGTAATCAAGTTAGTATTTTAGGCTTTTTTAATAAAGTATTAATAGTAATTTATATGTAACTATAAAAAATATTTTCTTGTATTATGTTAGTAATTTATTTTTTATTTTAATGTAATCATAATTGGTATCTAATGATAAAAAATTTAATTATGTTATGGCAAAAAAATTAATTATGTTAGTGATATAAATTTATTTAATTAAGATGTAATTTGAATTTGTATGTAAATAGAAAAAAATATTTTCTAGTATTATATTCATAATTTGATTTTTATTTGAAATATAATAATGATTTGTATGTATATCTTAATTAGATTTTATTTGATTATGTTATTAAAATTAATGAAGGTAAATTCATTTAATAGGCTAAAATTGTGCTACATGTTATATTCTCGCAAGTTGTGCACTTTTTATAGTAAAAGTTATTCGAATTATGACACGTGTCACCATATAAAAGTTTCACGCTCTGTACAGTGAAACTGATATTTAATTTCGCCAATCATAATACAAAATTACACTGATACTGAAACATGTCACAATTTTGTTATTTTACTTTTCCGGTGACAAAATTTATTTTTAAAAATAAAAAATAAATATTTTTATCAATTATTTTGGCAAAACTTATGTCACGTGCACACTTCAAACAGAAAAATAGTTTAAGAAAAGTAATAAATTAATAATTTATTTTTGATTTTGCAATATTTAAATAAAAAAGCCATAAAAAATCTTGTTAAGAATGGTAAAGATCTTCAATTGTATCAAGAATTTAATTTCTTAACAAGTTAAAGATACTTAATAAAGAAACCAAATTACTAGTGTTGGAAAAAGATATTTTCAGTTGAAATCATCGTAAACTAATTCATTAATGCGTGTTGATTCAAGTAGAAAGAAAATTCATTCAAGTATGGTTTCATATCTTGACTATTGTAAATGAAAAAAAAGGCGTTGGAAGAATTTTATTTTTTAAAGTAAATTTATTTGACTCAACTTAAATTAATTAAATTTAATGAGTTCATGGTATCAAGCTTCAAACTAAAAAAAATAAAAAAATAAATTCGATGTAATTAATAAAATCATATCACTGTTTCATTAGACAAGCATATATAAGCATTAAAAGCGTTGTGTAGCAAAACAAATAAGAAACATTAAATGTACTGTATTTTTTAATAGTTTATTAAAAAATACTTTATAAAATATATATTTTTAATATTTCTCACTCACATAATATAAGAATTTATATTAGATCATTTTCCTCAACATTTGATTTAAGTTGTATAAATTATGAAATAAAATTTCATTAATTCTGAAATGTTAAAATATATACAACTTTACAGATATTATTTTTTACCTTTACTTTTATAATCTAAATTAAATACTAAACATTTAAAACTAATATTAAGAAAAACCTTTCCCGTTTATAATTATTCTATCTAACTTTAATTTGAATAGGATTTTATTAACTCTAATGTTTAGAGTAAAATTTAAATATGTAAATATAATAATTTTTATTAAAAATACAAAAAATATTATTATATTAACAAATAAAATATAATAAATACATAGAGTCTCGTTTTCAATATAATAAGATGTTTAATATGTATTTAAATCATCATCTTCTCTCACTTAATGAACTAATTTAAATTAAGTTCTACTTACGTGATTAAATCATAATAATTTTATTTTTAATATAAAAATATTATTATTGTTATTACTAGGTACACATTAATAATTTATATTTTTAATTGATAAAAAACCAAAACACTTGTAACGGGCACGGGGAGCTGCTTGATTGGACCAGCACAGTCATACAGATCGCGACGGAACCGACACGCTTTTTTTCCTCTCTTGAACTTCTCTTCTCTTCGCTTCACTTGTAATTCTATTTGTGGTTCTGCGACTGAAAGCCTGAAGTGAGAATGTTGCAGCTACTCTACACTGCCATTTTCAGCGAAATGATTCTGATTCTTACCCTTGTTTTCAAGACCCCACTCAGAAAACTAGTCATCATTACGTTGGATCGGGTCAAACGAGGTCGTGGCCCCGTTGTTGTCTCCACCGTTGGTGCCACATTGGTTGTGGTTCTCGCCTCCAGTCTCTATAGCATGGCCAAGATCCAACAACGCACCATCGAGGCCGGTGTAGTCAACCCCACCGATCAAGTTCTCATGTCCAAACACATGCTCGAAGCATCTCTAATGGGTATCTTTCTATCTTTCAATTTCCCTTCTTTTCTTGTTCAAAATCCCTGCTTTTTAGTTTCCCTCTTTTTCTATTTCTACTAGGGTTTTGGTTTAGGTTGATTGATTGATTGATTATATTATTATTTTTTATTTTTATTTAAGGGTAGAAAAGGGGAATTCATTGAAGGACTAATTACTAGTCAAAGTGTGAGAGTTTTAGATATGATTTGATTTGTGGATGGAGTAATTGTGACCATTGTGCTTGATTTCTCTGATGTGGATTTGATTTAAGGTTGTTTTTTTATGCATTGGTGTTCTACACTGGTCTGTCTTACCTGACGAGTGTGCTGTACATGGATTTCATTTACTTGGTATTTGATTTATCAGTTAGTGTCAAATGATTCAGCAATGGGTGGCTTGTATCGAACTTTCATGTAAATGGGTTTTTGTTTTGGGTGCGACGGTTAGGATGTCTTAGGAAGGGGGATGTGATTGGGGGCCTTGAGCTGCTGCCGTTGAAATGCTCATCAAGTTGCCCCATATGCTTGATTGCTTGAAACTTTTGGAATATTTGAGGTGAGCAATATCTTTGATGATCTTATGTGATCAGTCATCACACACCCAGGGGATGTTTTATGGTAATGCATTGAAACCTTCTAAATGCATTATATATTTTAGTTCTTGAATTTGATTTTTCACGTATAACGTGTGCAGGGTTTGTGCTGTTCCTCTCTCTGATGATTGATAGATTGCATCATTACATCAGAGAGCTTCGTCTACTCAGGAAGACTATGGAAGCTGTGAAGAAACAAAGCCGAAGTTTTGAAGAAGGTAAAAATGGCAATACAGAGGAACACAAGGCATTAACTGAAGAAATTGCTGCATTGAAGTCTGAAGTCAAGAAACTGGAATCTGAATGTGAGGCTAAAGGAAACAAGGCCAAGACTTTGGAAACTGAAGTAGAGGCTCTTAAAAAGCAATCTGAGGGGTTCCTTATGGAATATGATCGCCTTTTGGAAGACAATCAGAATCTTCGGAGTCAGCTGCAGGCCGTTGACCAGAACTCTTTGCATCCTGATGATAAAAAGAGTATTTGATAATGATCGTGGAAATATCTAGAAAAACACTTTTATCATTTGTTTTAACTCAAAAAGTGTCACATGTTTTCTTAAGGAGGTCACAGTTGTAAATTCTAAGTATCTAAAGACAGAGATGAGCCCTGGGGATTAGGTGAACTTTTACTTTAAGCGGCTCACAGTCTCGCATTAAAAGTATAGTTGATTTGATCAGCTTATAACCATATCGATGATAATGATAAATGATCATAAAGGAACGGATATTTATTGCCATAAGTTTTGAGATGTTGTATTCTTAGTTAGCTTGCAACTATGCATCAGTCAGTGAACTAGAAAATTCTCGAGGGTTAAAGGGCATAATAATGGGTATGAAATCAATATTCAAATGGCTACATGCAATCGTATTAGAGATCAAAAGGCGGTGGTGCCTTTATAAATGTTATGGACCTTACATCATAGGTCCTAAGACAGATTAATCTTCCTTGTTTCTCCGAGAGACTGCATAAACCTGCATAAACGTTTGAATTAGCCTATTCAATAAAGGGAAAAGCACGAATCGCTTATAAATCTTTAAGCAATAGAACAGAATCTTCATGCATTTGTAATTGCATCCAATAAGTTTGATTAGTCCCTTCAGCTCTTCAAAGAAAGCAGTGATACAAGAGAGTCGTGGAGAGCAAGCGGCTTGCCATGCACTAAAATACGCAAAATGTCTTTTTTATTGGTGTTCATATATTTAATGGTTTAACGAGATGAGATGACGTTTCGGAAGTTAAAATTAAAAATATGATATATCATGATTTTCTTAAACTCACTGTATTTAGGATTGATTGATTTTATAGAATGATAAAGAAATTAATAAAAAAAAAATATTTATAGAATACAAAGACGGCTGACATTATTTATAATTGTAAAATATCTATTAAGTTAAAAGAATAACTGTATTAACTAATATATGAAAATGAGTATAGAGTTACAAAGGAACATGTGAAAAAAAAAAGTGAAAATAATATAAATAAAAATGTTAAGACGTAGCTAAACAAAAATATAAGAAAATATATAATTGTATATGCAAGAATATTAGTAACATCAATGATAAAATTGATAACAAAAAATTGTTAAAAAGGCCATTAGATGCACTAGGCAAATGATGTGACTTTTATTGAAAGAAATTTGATAAAAAATAATGTTTTTAAAAATTTAAATTTTGACCAAACTAAATAACTCATGAAGTGATCTATGTAGTTGATTTCATCTAGGGAGATAAAATGCAATTATTGATGCAGTAAAATAATTTAGCCAATTTTAAATATATAACTGCTTATAGATTATTGATGATATAAGTTTATTTGCATTAATTAAAATTGAATTCATAAAACTTAAAAAAAGGTAGCAAATCAATTACGTACTCATCTAGTTGTCCATTATGTACAGCTAAAATCTCAAAGTTCAAGGATACAAGAAAATGGTTCTACATCTACATACATTAATAACTGAGAATCAAGATTAGTATACGAGACGATTTAGTTGAACTCGCAAAATTGGAAGTAACAATTATATAGACAAAATATCAAATAAAAATATTGGAAATGAATGTCAAAATGGGTAGGTATACCAAGAATGTCATCTACATAGACACAACATTCATGCACAATGACGTCGAGTCTCAGAAATCCCAAAATTTTAATCCAGTTAGCTGCTTATCTCCTCCATGCTCAACACCTGGCCATTCGCTCCGTGCAACTTCAGTGCATTTTAGTTGGTCATATATCGAGCTGAGTATTTAAGTTTAAACCTGCAAGTCATTCCATTTAACTTTTGGGTTAGGTTAAGACCAAAAAATATAGGCCCTTTTAAAAGTCAATGTTTTTGGTTCAGTCCATTTAACCTCCAATGCTACGACAACAAACCTTCCTACTTAAATGGACTAGCAGCCCACAGACCCTTTTTTAGAAAACATTTTTTAATGTTATGTATATAATTGTTTCACATATAACCCTGCATAGGTCCAACACCCCAGTGTGTGCGTGTGTTAAAAAATTGTTTTCTATACATCTTTTTGTTAAACGGACTGGCCCGATAATCGATGGTATTGACATGGGCCTCCATCTTTTGATCTCGTTTGTTTAATAGGCTAACTTACTCATTTAACAGCGATCCATTATGACGAGGGTTTATATGGGTCAAAGAATGGATGAACTCAAATTTCTTTTTGCGTATGTTGAAGGCCCAGGCCCAATGCCATTGCTTTTGTTTGCTCTCGTTAAAATGTTGATACTTTGGTGAATTTCTTTTGTTGATTTGGGTAAAAAATTTATTTACAATTGTCCTTGCACTTCAGATTTAATAATGGTTAAGTTTATTTGGCTATTGTATGCTTCAATCTTTGGTGGTAGAGGGTTAGAGGTAGAATTAATTAAAAATTAGTCAGAATTAATATATAGCTAGACTAATTGTCTCTCATTCATGCATATTAAGTCAATGTATCACTCATTTAATATTTACTTCTCATTTTCAATCAAAAATACACAATTCTCTCAATTTTTCTTTTCTCTTTGAACTTAGCCTTTTCTCTTAACACATATATTTGTTAACCAAGCTTACAATTAAAGCACTTTTGTAAGTTAGATCAACTAGGGAGAGTAAAATTAACTATAATTGTGAATATGCATCGATAAAAGTTTCTTATTTCCTAAAATACCGTACGAATTTGGAACCTTTGCAGTTTTGAAAAGAATTGCAGAGAATTCGGATCCATACTCGTACTATAGTAATGATTATATATTTAAACTTCTCAAATTAAAAATAATTAATTTAAATAAATAAATATTGTAAGAATAAAATGGTAATATATTAAAAAAAAATATGATTTATTATTAAATCTTATAATAATTATATAGTTTGCATATTTAATATTTTATAGCACAATAAATAAATTATAATATTTTAAATTTAAAATAAATTTTATTATATTTATCAAAATATATATTTAATTATGTCAATTATGTATAATAGTGTTCTTGGCGAGGATACACTCTCTTCAATAGTCTTTTTTTCTATCCTGTAGTATGACGTCTTTGCGGATATTTCAGGTTTTGCTTTTATATGACCTGGGGAGAGTACCTGCAAAAGACACTCAGATGATAAATTCAGACGTCGGTTTAAGTAATAAATGCTATTTACTATTCATAAGTCTACCCTTTTACCTGTACCTCTTACTTTCCTTTTATAGGCAATATATTGGGCTAATGAGCTTTATGACTTAGTCCTTACTTTAACCTTATGATTAAATAGATAATTAAGGACTATCTATTTTTAGTCTCTTTAATCACCTTTATTAATTTATTTTAATATGACTGGAGGGATGTCTATCCTTTAGGCCGAAAAAGTATTCAGATTCCTATTTCTATTGTAATGACAGAGCAATGTCTTATCCTCCCAAGCATGAGAAGGTATGACATAAGGGCTTTTGATTAGACCTGTTGGTGATTTGGTACTATGATTCTTTTGTTGGTTGAAAAGGTATGAACCGATAGGGTACGTGGTTTAAAATTTGTTGGTGCCAGGCCAAAAAGGTATTCAGATTACTGTTTATGTGTGAAAAGCCGAATCAGTCATCATAGTTTTGCCTCGCATGGCTAATAGAACAATGTGCTAGCTGTTTAAGGTTTAAACGGGTTAGGATTTTCTCGTGATTTATGCCTTTGAAAAGAAAGGTTGCTCGTTCTTATCCATTAATCTAGAAGAGATCTGACAGTTGAGAAAGAAGGTGACCTTTCATTTGCCCGATGAAATCGTATGTTCTATAAATAGGTGGTGGTCCAGGCATTATGTACGCTTTCTACTCTGCACCAAAGGGTATACTTTTGCTCATTTGTTCAAGTGTTATCTATTTTTTAGATTCAAAGGTACATTCATTTTTTGCCTTGTCTTTTTCTTCTCTTTTTATTCTTGTATGGATAATTCAATGGAGTGGGAAGATTCTTTATCTGAGGGTTCAGGGCTGAGTAGTTCTAGGGATATTGTTGATAGTCATACCGCGGTGATCGAAGGGGTGGAGGAAACAGCAACACAGTTGGATATCGAGGAGACTTCTGGCCTAATCAATGTATTGAGGGATTCAGGTGACGAGGTGGAAGAATCTATTCTGAAAGGTATAGACTCTAGGTCAAACAAACCTCTCCCTAAAGCAAGTTCTGTAAGGGAAAGACCAACGTTCCCACCTTGTACTATGCTTAGGTACGAGTGGGTAGATGAGGAGGTGGTGTCGTACTTTTTGCGTTTCAGTCAGAAAGGGCGTCTCCAAAATTTTGTAGATTTGTATAGGATAGGTCTATGGGGCTATTTGGATCCATATCCTATACATGTTAAGGTTTGCCGAGGAGATAGGTTAGCAAATCCTGAACTTGTATTTTTAGGTGAGGATCTTGGGCTAGCTAAGACCTTTTTTGTATACTAGTGTATGTTTAGAGAATTAGGGATCATTTTACCGTTAAATGACTTTCAAATGGGAGTACTTTGTATGCTGAATGTGGCGCCTACTCAGTTACACCCAAATGGGTGGGCAACAATGCAAGCTTTTTGGATATTATGTAGATATCATTACATAGAACCTAGTGTAGGTCTTTTCCTCCATTTCTTTTGTACCCATCCTTCTGATATATCTAGGTGGGTTTCCTTAATGAGGCAAGCTGAATTGCCATTATTCAAACCTTATACTTCATCTTTCAAGGGTTTCAAGACCGGATAGTTTAAAGTAAAGGTAAACGCTCGTGTCGGTAAAAAGTACTTTTATGATAATGAAGGTAAGCCCTTCTTCTCCTTTCACTGGACCCGCATCCCTCATCGATATGATGTATACTCGAAAGAGATGTTGTCTCCTAGAGAGCTATCGGCGTTGAATTATTTGAAAACTTTGCCTCGAGAGCTTCTTGCCTGAGCTCTTATTCTTTTACTCATGTCTCCCAGGCCTCGGTTAGATTTGGAGGGTATGCTCTGTTTCTTTGATTATGATTTTATTGATCATGTTATATTGATTTGACTTCTTATTTTTGATGCAGGTATAATGGCGCAAAGGGGAGCTAGTGTGACCTACCGACAAGCTCTTAAACTCATTACTCCAGAGGGTACCTCGGATGAGGAACATCATCATCCTCAAGTGGACCATGTTCCAGACCTCGATGTTGCCCACCCTCCTCCAGTCGTCATTCCACTTCCTGAAGGTGCCCAAAAGAAAAGAAAAGATAAAGGCAAGGAGAAGGAATGTGACTG